CGAAGAAACTTCGGCATTCATCGGAAACCCGCACCAAATTTTAAGATCGTCAAGCGCGTTCTACACATTCTAGTTAGATCGACTATGGGGCTTTTCCAAAATATTATAGTTCCCACAACGTTCCTAGCTGGGATTATATATCTAACCCTGTGTGTGGTTCATGTGTAATAAAGTCTACAGATCAGAGGTAAGAATGTAGGTGTACTATATGTGGCTAAACGGGAAATTCTAGGCTCGTTATCCGTATGCTAATAGAGCTGGATTGCAGCAGTAAAGACGCCGGGACGCGGTTGTTCACGTGCTATACATATAGCGATAAGATAATACTCTTGCTTGCTGTATACCTAATGTAAGTGCAAACGTAAGACCGTGTGTGCAAGAATGGACGAGAGTTGACGATGCCTTCGCACGTGCATCGGAAATACCGTAAAGTCGTAGGTAAACGGCTGAGACGCGTCACATCTTTGCGTGTTTCAAACTTGCTAGTCTTGATCACGTTCGGGCGGTTAATTCTTCCGTTCGTCTGCTAGATTTTTGATGACTAGTTCGTCTATACTCGCGCCTTCTATTATTGTGACATTTCCTAAATGTTTTATGGTGCGCTATAAACACTCGTGTTTTATGGACCCAACTAAATCGCTCTTTCGTTTGATTACTAACCAGCGTTGTGTATTTAGCGGGTCTCAGTTTAGATCACGTGAGTGGTGACGCGTACGCGGACGCGAGAAGCTTCTTGGTGCGAGGTTCGTGTGGATTTACTACACCCGAAAAATCGCTGGTAGATTGAATATTCATTAGCTAATTCCACCAACTGTTCATGTTTGCTTGCTGCAAACGCATCTTATTATCTCTATGTTTGATGTATTCTTATGATCGATAGGCCTATAAACTCCGTTGCTGCTCGTTTCCTCTGACCCCTAGACTGACTCCGAAGGTCCCCTGGGGCGTCCGAATGGATTCCGGACGACTTGCGGAGTCAGTCTAATCTGACCCCAGACGGATTTGCTGCCAGTCCACGGTGCGAAGCCGCCGTTGAAAACCAGCGCAAATTTCCATAATGAATTCCGTCGGTTTGATGACTTCCTGTTTTATTCCCTGGCGTTGTGTGTGTTTAATTATGTATGCGTGTGGCGTAGGTATGCACCCACCGGGGCGCTGTTTACAGCCGGTGTAATCACACGTACATAGACCGAGGTTTGTTCCACGCGCCCCGCGTGATTCTTACACACGCACTCGATCCTCGATGCAGTTATCACTCGTCTTGTTAAAAAAAAGGTACAGGAATCATTGGATATACGCGCCAGAATCGGCTGCTTGACTTAGAAGTCAGCAGCGCGCCATCTAACGGCTTTAAAATACGTTTAGTTGTTCGGCCACAGAGGCGGTTTCTATAGAATTCAAATGCTTGTCCGACGCTTGATTGGGGAGTTTGATTTCCGAAACCTGGCATCGGTTTATCGTGGAGAAAGCATAGAGGTGTTATTTCTTACGGGTTCATCAAAATAGCCCGTAGAAAATCTGTTTAGTTGTTAGAGGGAGATTCAATAGTTATTGGTGGCCTCGCATGCGTTCGACAGGTTACGTTTAATATGTATGACCTATAGTTATTACATTCGTCGCCGCAATAAGCAGGCTGTTTATCACATAACTAAATTTTACCTGTTGTATGTACGTACCTATAAGTACTTTATGGTTTACGGTAGTCATTTAGGCTGTTACGCGTCAAATTTGTTTCGCGTCGAAATTAATTACGTCACAAATATTCTGCGCCCATCGCCAAACCGTTCACCTAGAAGTGCTCAACGCTTCAATAACCAACAGGTTTCAATTACTCAACTCTTGAAATTTTGATTCGTGCATTCGCGTCACGGCTGACATTTTCCGTTGGCACTGAGAATGTCAAATTTATCCGTATGCACTTTCAAATCCGCCACCTAATTGACACAATTCAACGTCATCTTCTGAATTCATTGAGCTCAGAAGTATAACAAACCATCCACAATGCTGTACAGGCTTTTGTTTTATCACCTTTGAAACACGGGAATCCGCCTTTGAACAAGATATTTGTCACGCCGGCGATCTAACCGGAAATTGACCTCCGCTCTACCGGAACCACACGTGCCGGTCGACGCCTGTCCACTTATTCCCCAATCCAATTGGCATTCTGAGGCGGTGTGTGTGGGAGGGGGGGTGACGTCACCGTCCGTCAGCTGAAGCTGATGTCCACGCTGATCTATGAATAGTGGGAAGCGCGTCGCCTCGGGACCAATACACCTGAAATAAACAGGGTAGAAAGCATTTCTTTCTTTCAAGTCTAGTGAAGAATAACTGCGCGCATTCCCTAAACTGCTGCAAAAAAATTGGGGTACTCACCAACAGCGTATGCCTATATATATATATATATCAAGTGGTATTTAAAATATTCAAGTTCGTGTCCCGGCCATGTATGTACTGCACAGCATACCGTGCACGCCCACATCATTAATACGGTAAAAAAGCCGGCTGTCGCAGCTGAGGGCGACCTCCGCTATAGGCCTACGTAGTAGCGAAGAGTGCTATACACGTAGTACATTATATGCTTGTTTTTCCCCGGGTGCGCCCCCGCGATAAACCCCGTAAAGTCTTTCCCCGTCTTCCTTCCTGCCTGCTCTTTTCTTCATCACTCTTTCTGTGTGTGTGTGTATGTGTGCGTGTGTGTGCGCGCGTGTGTGTGTATGCGTGTGTGTGTGCGCGCGCGCGGGCGTGTGTGTGTGTGTGTGCGTGCGTGCGTGCGTGCGTGCGCGCGCGCGTGTGTGCATGCGTGCGTGCGTGCGTGTGTGGATGTGTATTGTTGTTGTTGTTGTTGTTGTTGTACGTATGTGCGGGTAATGTCTAGCGTGCTTCTGCAACTGCTCGGCGAGCTATATCTTCCTCTCGCATGTGTACGCGTATATGTGTGCGTATGTGCCTTGTTCAAATAGAGAGGCGCGCTACGCATGTTGCACCGCGACGACTACCTAGTCTGCAGGCGGCAGCGCCTTTTTTTCACGATCGAAAAAAATACACGCGTGTGGCAGGCACATACCGCTTGATCGTACACACGATGCTACTATATGCTGCTATACGTGCGTATCGTTTCAGGTAAAGCGTGGAGGGCGCTGACTCCGATGCTCAGGCGACCGTACGTGATGGAGGCGGAGAGACTACGCGTCGCTCACATGCGCCAGCATCCCGACTACAAGTACAGACCGCGCCGCAAGAAGCAGCAAGCACGCGCTAGAGCCGCAGCGAACACTGCCGCCAGCGCCACCTACCTCGCCAGAACGGAAGAGCCACCTCCGGACTGCATGTATTACTGCAGTGGTGCGTGCAGCGCCCCCCGCACGCCAGTAAAAGAAGCGACATTCCTGCAGTACGGAGCAGCGATGTCGTATAGCCTGCCAAGCACGCCGCTAGGTGGCGGCGATGCGCATTTTCCATTTGAGGTGGCCAGTACGCCGGACGCATCACCGACAAACCGCCCCCTATCGGCGAGTAACGGATGGCCGCAGTCGGCCTTCATGTACGCTCCGCCGCTGAACGCCGACTGTGGCGCCACCACGCCGCTGAGCTTGTCCATGGATACGTACCCGACGCCGGAGTTGTCGCCGTTGGAGAGAAGCTATGAGAGCTGTGGTGGTGGCGGCAGTAGCTTCCCCTTCCAGCAGCACAGCCAGGTTAACGGCCAGCTGTCACCGGTCGCACACCTGCTGAGGCGATTCAGCGGGCAGTCCGTAGCCCCGCACCTGACGCCGCCGGCCGCCACTGTAAAGACAGAGGCGGCCGCCGCCGCGCGCACCGAGGACGGCTTCAATCTGGTGGGCACGTGTCAACGCATCGCTTCGCTGCAGTCGCTCGTGCACTTACCTTCCAGATACGCCGACGTTCAGCACCCCCTCGCCGACGCGTATCCGCGCGACAGCTACCCGTGCGACAACATCTACGGTGGCGCCACCTCCTCCGAGTCGGCGACGAGCGAGAGCAGCGGTACTCAGCAGGGTAAGGGTTTTGTCGAAGAGCTGGAGCAGTTCATGGAGGCAGAGCAACTGCACGAGGTCGACCGAGACGAATTCGATCAGTACCTGACCGGAAACAGATGTCGCTTCCGATCCAACGCTGCTAGTTACAAGATTTCGCAGTGGAGTCCCGTAAAGACCAGACAGCAACCAGCACTAACGACTGCTGCGACACGTGACGACGACGATGACGGCGACGGCGACGATGACGATAGTAAGGAGAAGGGCGTGGACGAAAGTGAGAAGCAGTCTAGTGCAGAGATGCACATGTCCGTTTACGGTACGACCGCTGGGGAAGGCGCAGCAGCAGCAGATGAAAGCAGGTTTGGCGCGTCGGCGTTGATAGATGCGTTGTCGTGCGCGTCTGCGCTATGCAACGAGCACGTGTCTTCAGGCATATCCACGTGACATTCTAATACTCACGCGACAATAATGCTGTAGTGTTGCTAGACTCTTACACGCGGTGTCCGAATTGAGTTTTTAATCATCTTCTATGATTGATGTTAAATGGGCCCTTATTTAGATTTGACAAAAGTTTACTACTAGTATGTATAACATTCGTAATGATACTCACGTGACCATTATTGCGTAACTATTTTATATAGCCTCATGTTATACAGATAAGGTTACGCATAGAGTTATATTATTATATTTCAGAGTAACATGAAGCGTTATCCTTATCTAAATGCTCAGCCTATATTAAGTTTTATAGCTGATAATTTCGCTTTTATTGTCTTATATATCATTTTATTGCATATTCTCAGCTACGAGTAAAGTTTTTCTCAAGCTGCTATCTGAATATTACTCTACCTGAACTTGTGTTAGTGAATTAGCTGCTAAATGCACTTGTTATAATAAAATATATGTAGCGAAACCTCAATAGTCCATGTTTATTATTAGACTTCGAATGAGACGCTACTTTCATTCTGTGATGTAGGTGTGACACATTTAATGAACACAGTTCATGGTCCGAATCTGAACGTTTGTGGGACTAATGAGGGTTGTAGGAACGCTAATGTACACTGGATTACATACGCATAACGACATCGATTATAAATAGTATACACCACTAACTGGAGAACACAACAAAACTACTCGCAAACATACCATAATAAGTGATCACCAACAATTCATTTATTCACATTGGAAAAGCTGTATTATATATTTTTGGTGCATGTATACATGTATGTATGTATGTA